AGGACTCCAAAGAAAACAAAGCATGTTAGTCAGAGAAATAATAAAGTGCTCTCTCTAATGCAAAAAATATGTCTTTGGTCTTTTTGTTATTAGTGAACCTACTTGCTGGGATGCAGTGAATGTATTTTCAAGCCTTAGTCCTTCCTTTAAAAGGGCAAATTCATTTTAAAGTTAAATCTAGGTATGGAGACTTGGACTTTTCTACAAACAGGACAGTGTAACTGAAGGCAAGCTGTGTAATGCTCCTGTTGGCATCAGAGTGCTGCAAAGAATTTGGTTTTACTTATAAGGTATGTTACAGCTTTCTTTGTCCAGTATTGCTGACCTGTCAAACCACCCAGCATCTTGTGGTTTCACCTCTCTTTAATTGATATTTGCTAGTAAACTTCACCATGGGCCACTGGAGATTTCAAAAATAGAGTCATCCTCACCATAGTTTTGGACTTAGAAATTGAACATTCCCACTTGCTCTTTTACTGAGAGATTTTAAACCTTGAATTTAAACATACTGGACAGCACTCAAAGAGTCTTTGGCTGAACAAGGAACTGACCCCAGGTCCTCTTGTTTTGTATCTTAACCACAAGCCAGTGCAACCATCTTTCACTGGATTGTTTTAGTAGAAACTCTTAAATAGTCCAGAAAATTTTGTAGTAGATACCAGAGAATATAGACATTAATTCATTGCCAAAGAATTAGTCATTCCTTTGCTCATTTCATCCTCCTACCTTTTTACTTATTGTCATTGCTCCTAAATACCAGTGGTTTTTCTTCTCCCTCCCTTCCTAAACAGAATTAACTATATTGCACCTATATTGTGGACACAGGGTTTAGGTCACTTGGCTTTTTTGTCAGGTTTTTCTTTTGGGTAGGAACATGCTATCTATTAAGAAAGGTTCAACCTTCCTTTATGGGCCCACAGAAAACTGCGGGTGAGATGAACTGGCACCATCATAAACCATGATTAAAGAACTCCAGCCCTTTCACTGGCTACTGCTCAGCCTGGCAGTACATCCTCAGAAGGCAATTTGTTAAGGCTGAGGGTAGTCAGGCTGCCAGTTTGCTTGTTACCATGTTTAGACCTTAGGTTCCAGCTTGCCAGAAGCATTATGTTTTCCCACCTTTAGGTTTCAGGATCAAAAAGCCCAACAGCATCACTTCACAGTCCTCTTGCAGGGTGGTTCCTGAGATAGCCTGATGAGCACAGTCGCATGCTGAATCATTCACAAGCTATGCAAATTGTTGAGACTGATGTTTCCTAAGTTATTTCAACTCCAGCAGGTGCTCTTCCATTCTTTTACTTTAGTTGCTACTGATTAAAACCTCAGTTTACATTCCTGACTCAGACTCCAGACTCATCCCATGGGGAAGATAACATGACCTTAAGGCATCATCTGATTTGGAAGCAGCAGCAGCAGAAATCAGGCTGGAGGAAATGCATGTTTGAGCTCCACCTCACAGTGCATCAAGGACAAGGCCTGAAGAATTGAGTGTTGGTACAACCATGTGAGTTACACCTGGCATATTGTTTTAGATGTTGCACAGCATCTGCCCACTGAAAACCCAGCAGGGAGATTTGCTCAGGTATACCAAAGACAAAAAGAGGCATTATTGCAGACAGTATACACAGATCAGGGTTTTGCCACTCTCTACAGTCATACTTTGGATATTTAAATAGATTTGCATATGATGGGAAAATAAACTAACTTTATCTAACTACATGTTCAGAGTAAAAAAACATTTTATTATACACATTAGAGGTATTGTAAGCTCAGGATGAGAAATTAGAGTTTGCTTGCATTCTTTCTTCAGCTGTATCTTCCAGGACTGTATCCAGTGTGATTGTAAAGAATTCAAGTTTAGGAACTTAAGATTTGTTTAACAGTTTTTCAATTATTCAACCTAAGCTCCCATTCCCTTATTTGTATCTTATTATTCTTCGTCATCTCTCAGACCAGATGTAAAGCAGAGGAAGCAGACATGTCCTTACCAGCTACAATTAAAAGCCAATACTGCAAATACCCCCAGGCATCAGGGGCTTCTGAACATGCCCATGCCCTTGGCACAGAGCAGGCAGCACCATGACTGAAAGGGAACAGGGACACCAGCTGCAAATACAGTGCTCATCGTTAGGCTCTTTTTTCCATTGCTGACTACATATGTCCTCCAAAATTCTGCCAGGCCCTCCCTTACCCATGTCTGAGTTTTGCAGCTGTAATCAGCTGTGGGACTATGAGTGAAACTGCCACCACTCACACTTTGAAAGGAGCTGGTGTAAAAAGTCCTCAACCTGCTCTTGCTTTCTGGGGTTCAGGACACCACTACTGCCTTGAATGTGCGTAGACCCCTGGGACCTCCTGTAACATAAGTAAGAGATTTAAGGTCATCCTCAGTTCTAGAGAGATTTAAGGGTGTTGCTTGACTCTCAGAAATATGTCTTACTATGTTTTCACCAGGAATTAAAATAGCCAAGTCTAAGCCACTGGATGAACACAGAAAAATAATCAAGAGTGAAAGGATCTTTAGCTGCTGCCTAGAAGGGTAAAATCTTTCAGAAAGTTCAGAAACTTTCTGAA